GAGGGAGGGAGGGAGGATTTGGATTGAGACTCCTCTGACGAGTTAACCTTGTATGATTGCGGGGGAAAGGGGAATGTACGGTAGGGAGGAAAAGAAATCGCCTCCTCTGAGTCTCATCTGCTGAGTGAACCATGGGTGGGGGTAGGAGCATCTCGGCTTGATCCTCCAGTGCTTTTGTTCGTAAGGGGGAACAGCCTCTCCTGAGCATCCTCCGAATTAACATTATCTCGGATGGGGAAGGATCGCGTGTGGAGTGACTCCTCCGCTCAGTTAATGGAGAAAAGACTGCATTTCTATTGAGTTATCTGTTTAGTTAAATTCAGCGGTATGAGGAGGGGATTTTAAAACTGAGTCCACGCGGCCAGGAAGCTCTGTCTTCCTGCCGGGTAGGCAGGGAAGGAAGGTAACTTCTCCTGAGCCTCTCAGAGTGAATTCACTGTTTCACGGGAGTCGGAAGAGAGCTCTGATTGGAGTGCGAGGTGGCAGGGGGAACTTCTTCCCTCCTGATTCCAGAGAAATAAGAGATCTCAGTTAATGCTCTGGCGGTTTCTGTGAGATCTTAAAAAGCAGAGGACTCGTGGAATCTGTCACAGGAGCGTTTTCCTCTCCTCTAACAAGCACTGACAGTCTAATTACTGGAGCTACGAGCAGCTGTCGAGTTAGCCGGAGAGACAGAGGAGCTACATGTGTTCTATCCGGCCGCCGGCACTGAGCCCTTGCACCAGGCTGAGGCAGCCGTAACGCCACGGCATGTCCCTCGGAAACCTCCCAGATAGAAAGGGGAGCGGCTTGCTTCCTTGCGTTCAAGTCAGAACTAGAGATCCCGCGAATACTGGCTGTAAGCATGGGGGTTCACCCGTCGCGTACCGTCAGCGCGGGGCGGCGGGTAAAGTGAAGCCGTACGGGAGCCTTGAAAGCAGCTTCGGCCCCGGGGCTACCCCGGGGGGTACTCCGCTGGCCCTGGGAAAGGAGGAATTCGGTACGAATTCCACGAGCCTGCTGCTCTTTCTTTCCTCTCAAGTTCCACTTCCTTCCCCCAGATTTATTATTATTATTATTATTATCGTTGTTTTTAATGAAATCCCACTTCCCGTTTGGATTCAACCTCCTCTGCTCAGTTGAGCTTGTGTGGAAGGGGGAGCGGAGGGGCGGAATGCTGAGCCTCCTCTGGTGAGCGTAATAAAGCAGATGTCCCCGCTGGCAGCAGCAGCCTCCTCCGGGAAAGCTGTATGAGTGGGGCCCACTCAGGGACCGCACTCACCTCCCACTTCAAGGCGCTCACAACTGCTTAGCCTGAGATTTATTTACTTACTTAGAAACCAGACCGGTGCCCCTGGCAGTGGTCTGATCGGCGACCCTATCTGGACGCCCTCAGGCAGCGATAGTTTTAAGCCCACAAAATTAAACAGCTTCCCAAGACGCCGCACTAGGCAGGAGCTCTCATAGCGGGAGACGGACGGGTTCTGCTGGCCGACGTGGACAAACCGTGCCTCCCCCCACTTTCTTCCCCCCGCCTTCCCCGCTCTGCCCTGGCTGCAGGGGAGGCCGCAGCTCTGCAGGCGGGGCGGGGGTGCCAGGCTGCCTCCAGCAACAAAGAACCGTGGCCCAGCGCGGGGACTCGGGCTCGGCGCGGGGCTCCCTTCTCCGCCAGCGGAGGAGCTCACGGGGAAAACGCGTCCGTGCGTGGCGGGGGCGGAACAGATGACTTTATTTTCTTTAAAGGTGACTCGCGGTTTGTTCGGCTCTTAATAACGTGAGCTCCTGAGCTCGGATTTCACGGCTGAGAGGACAAGTCGGTTTTGTGTCGGGCTGGCTGGAGATGTGCGAATCCCCTTCCCTCCTCCCAATCCTGGAACTTCTGCCTCTCCCGGGAACCACCCCCAGCCGTGCTCCCTGGGGAGGTTCTTCACACGCCGCACGGCGAGTCCGGGGATGAACGTGTATCCTCCTCAGCGCTGGGTACCGGCGGGGCTTTAGAGCTGTTCGTAGTAACAAACTCTTTCTCCAGGTCATGTAGCAGATGTGCACTGTACACTGCTGTTTATTACAGTACGCTCTGTTGACAGCCAGTCACAAACATGAGATGTTTAAAATAGAGAAAGTAATTGCAGAAAAATCCATTTCTAAAAGTTACACAGGTGTTAATTCTTCCAGAAATTGGTCACCTGCGAACAAATCTTTAAAAAGAGAAACTGTTGTGCTTTGCTGCTATGAAAATATTAATGCTAATTATCAAGTATCGGGACTAAAACCTATATTCAGTTCAAACGCAAAAAGCTCCAAGTCAGCCTTTATAATTTAATTTAAATTACTTAGTAAACCCCCCCACTTTTTAATTTGATCCCAATAAATCCAGAAAATGTGCAAAATTTATCAGAACGCAACGTTTCAACTAAACACAAATTTAAATTGCATTGAGGAAGCCACTAAGCACATTCAGGTTAAAAATGAAGTTACTGGGATTTGGGTGATTAGGTTTTCCCCTTTTCTTTCTAGGCTGTAGCAGACTTGAGCAATCCTTCATAGCAGACCGGAAGGAAAGGTAAATAATCTTTGGTATTCTTAGTTTTAGGGAAAGTTTAACCTTTTCTCACTCTATCCTTCACACTAATACAATCTTTTTCCATGAAAGTATTTTTACTAATTATTAATGCTAGAAAGATACATGAACAAAATTGTTATTTTTTATAACACGTAACAGATATCCATAAAATTGCTACTGTTACATTTTGCCAAAAGTGACATTTATGTGCCATGTTTGATTACTCTCTCTAGTAAACAATTCATCTGGGAAAGTCAACCATTCATTTATGTTACTAGTGAACACGCCTATCCTAATTTTGGCACACCTGGCATTCAGTTACTGTGATGATTTTGCAAGAATCTGAATTAAGAGGTTCACTATAGTAAATTAAATTTGGAAATTTTATAAGAGAAATGAAAAATGAGAGCCTACTTATCTTCCTGTTTACTTCAAGGAGAACATAATCATATCACTGGATATTGAGAAAAAAATCCTAGCATTACACCAATTTCCCCAGCCAGATTAAGGCGTTAATCCTGCAAGTCTACACTCTTAAATATAATCATGACTTCGGGCCTATTCAGGCAATGACTAATTGCAAAATAAAAGAAAGGAAAAAAAAAAGAAAAAAAGAAAAAAGGTGTTTAACATCACTCTCAAAAGTAATATTGAAGCATAACAAGCAATAATGTGAATTACAGTACTGAGTGACTTACAGTTTCATTTTACCTTGTCAAAGGACAATTTAAAAATGTGCTTATCTGACAAACAATTTCAGTCATGAGTTCTTGTTACAAGAAGTCTTAATTCTTAAATTCTTAGCGTACTATTGAATAAAAGAAATCAAATATATGCAAAAACGGTGATCCATTGAATTCTCATACATTAAGACTGTACTTTAAAGTGGGAATTCAGATGCCGAAGAAAATCTTCCTTAGATGTTATAGATGGTGGGAAAACTTCTCGACAGAATTCACATATTCCACACTGATTCAGTTCAGAGTCTGTATAAGCTTGTGCCAGCAAATCATTGTCTTGAGGCTGCCAAACGAGCTAAAAGAAACACAAAATGATTACTGCTGTGGTTTACAACGTGGTTTACATTATGCTGTAGTTTATATTTATATTAAAAAAATACCTGCCTTTTTAAACTATGTGTCCTTTACACCTGCCTGGCCAGAGACATTAACTAGAGAGTTCTCATTTAAGAAAAGCAAGATAGGAGTTCAATTTTTTTAAAGTTCTATAAACATACTATCCTTGCAAACACTTAGAATGTCTTGGTATCTATTAATGATAAATACTGCTATGAGCAAAAGTCTGTAATATCAGTCTGATAAATATTAAGGCTTTTCTGTAACTTTGCATTTCAGTATTTTACTGTAGAAGCCATAGTACATAATAGCCATTTAACAGAAATGAGAAAACATATTTTTACCTTAGAGTAAAATGTTTCTTGTACAGAGTTAGTATGAATCATATTTTATTTCTATTCTTATTGACACATAACTAGTTTTCATTTTACTTACAAAGTGACTAGAGCAATGTTGTACGGCTTAAGTTACTTATTTGCTCTGACTGCCTTTTAGTGTAAATGTGTCTCAAATAATCTGTTTTGGGATTCCTTCTGCCATGACAGCATCAAACTCAATGGGACCATCTGAATACCTATCCACGCGTTCAGGCAGTTCTGTAAACTATGCTAAGTTTTGTTCAGCAGCTGTACTGCTCTTGGGCCCTGCGCTAGTTAGTTTAAAGCCAACAGGCCTGTTTACCCGACACTGGAGTTCAAGGGACTTCAGCCTGATACATACTTTAAGTCAGAGTGTACGCTAATTATTTAGCGTCATACCAACTAGAAATCAAAAAAGTCATCTATCAGTTTTCAAAGTGAAGTTAAAAATTAAGTTTCATTACTTTAGTATTAGCAACACAAGATAAAATACATAGTTACGTTATATGGCCAGGACGATTAGGTTTTGAGTAAATTGAAAACTAAATGCATACTGCTGTGACTGCAAAGTAGACAGAATGGCAGCAAGCTGGTATGAGCTTTATGTGGGGATGGAACCTAGAAGAGGAGAGCACCCTACAGTATTTTTGGCTCAGTTTTCTTCTCTCTTGCTTCACTCGCACATGGAAAGGCAAGCAAGAATACTTTAGATAGTAGTTTCTTTAGAAGTTTTAAATTTCTTGCTATCAAGACTTACCCAAGAGTTTTAATTTTCAGCTCTTACTCAAATTTCATCATGCCAAATACTTGGAATCTATTGTTTATTCCTCCCATGGTAACTCACTGTACAACTAACCTGGCTTTCATAGTGGTTAAACCTTCTTTTTAAACCAGCTAAACTTCTTGGAGTCAATTTCCTGTCTGTTCCCTATTTAAACAGTGTTTAGCTTATCAGCAATAGCAGATTTACTGTCTTTCATTATGGTCAGCAATCCATATAATTAAATTGACTAATTAGTAATTAAGTGCAATCACACCACTTTTTTCAGCTCAAAGAGTGTACTTATTGTATGTTGCTGGTGTAAATTGCATATTAAATCTATCTAGACACTGACACACTTAAACATCCCTACACAAATGTGTTTAGAATTACTTGTTTCTAATCTCTTATGATGTAAAGCACCATTTGAAAAAAAAGATAAAATAGTATTATAAAAACCCCACAAAGGACATAGTAAGATTTCTAATCTTGGAAGCACAACAAGGGGAGGTACTCATCCAGCAACCCACTGAGGCAGGCACTTAACTTCCATTTCTTTCTTTGCATGTTAAGCATGTGCTTAATATGCTTTTCAGAATAGGGATATATTTAAGCAGATGTTCCATTTTGAAAACATTAATATTCAGATTAAGATCAATAGGCTATCAATTTGCTTCTAAATCGTGAACATTCTTAGAAATATTTTTGGTAGAAACAACCCCCTCAAACTGTGAATACCGATGAACACATGCATCTATATGCAAGTCTCAGTGAAATGCAGTCTGTAAAATCCTAGGTCCACTAATATCCATGTTTATTTTAATCTGCTGCTCTTTTCAGTCACATGTTTTTTTAAAAAGTTACATCCTAAGAAAACAGTACTGAGTTTTCACATTTAGTATCCACATAGAAGGAAAGAGCTAAATTTATTACAGCAACTGAGAGCAGTTCCAAGAACTTACTGTTGCCAAATCTATTGCATTTATGGGGTTTTCCATTTTATAAGTTAACATATGTAGTAAATACTTGAAAGTTTTATCTACACTAGGAAAAAAAAATCAGGTATCTAATTCTGCCCTACTGGAGCTTCACCAGTGGCAGGGATGATGGAAGCCGTAAGCAGTGTAACTACCCCTTAGAAAGGTGGTAAAAATACTAAGAACAAGTTTATGCATAAATTTGCTAAGGTTAATACAGTCGAAAGGGCATGTATGCAAGTAACTTTTAAAAAACATTAGTATTTTAATCTACATATATAGTATCTGTGAATCAAATCTTTAGCACAATTAAGAGTCAGAAAAAACTCTAAAGCTGAGTCCAATTCACTGGGAAAGATACTTAAAAACCTCTTTTGAAGGCAGCAAGGTGATGATGTTTAAATATATTGATATACACAGATATATATTTAATGGATTCTAAAGTAATATTGGCTTGTTTCAAACAAGCTTCTGGATAAAAGATAACATTTTAATCAATGTCCTTTATGTTCTACAGTGCTATTGTAGATATGACTTACAAATACTGGAACAGTTCACCATTGCCTTTCTTTTCTCCAAGTGTTAGCATTATTACATTTTCTCCACAAAGTAGATAATTTACATTTTAAATGATGGCTCCAAATTAATTTCCTTATTTTGCAGAAATACCAACGATCAAACCAAAGGCTTACTGCTATTCAACCGCAATTCTTCTCTACTTTTTAAGCTGCATACTCCCCTATCAATTTATAATCACATACCAGCTGTTTCACTTGCTGTAACATACAATGCAGGGTGCCATCTATTGAAAAATGAATACACAGACTAGCTAGTAAAAGAACAAGCTGGAGAGGGAATACAGAAAAAGAGGATAGTAACAAACAATGGAGTGAATGCTTCACAGCTCCACAGGAATTCTACCAGTGATAAAATAAAGGGTTTAATTTGTTTAACTCAGTCACAACTTTAACCGAGGATCCAATGAAAAACAAAGCACAATAAAAACTGTGATTAGTAAGTTGGTATAGATTTGAGATCTACATTGCAAATAGATATTTAAAATACATTTTAAAAAATCAGACTTACAGTTTAAAATACAATGATGAAGAACAGCAAACTTTCCACGCTTTAAACTTTTCATCCAAAACTGGTTTGCAATAGAAAATTAAACTAGACTGGGTATGTTTTAGGAGAAGAAAACGTCAAAGCTATCATGTCCTACAAATGTTTTCAAAATGCTAGTTTTGCATGTCATGGCAGTGGCCAAATTGAGAGGTAAAGCTCTTCTGCTGCATGTACCTTGTCATTAGCAAAGAACACAAAACCACATCAATGTAAATAGTAAAAATATGCCAAATCCACCCTCACAGAATTCCTAAATATTACTATTTGCTTATTCTTGAAAAGCTGTCCTCTCACAAGGTGTGAGAAAAGCCGCAGAAACATAAAAAAAATCAGTCTATAAAGGTCCATAATAATTTTGCCAGCAATTTCAGTTGAGACAGGATGTTACACAAAAGCAGCAAAATATTCAGACGTGATTGTCAGAACCTGCTGAAATGTTTTCTGCATTACAGCAACTGGGCCTTGCTTTCAGAAGCTCCCATGGACTTCAAGTAGCTATAACTGAAATTAAAGCCCAAAGTACCTACATAAACCTAAAATAAACTATTGTAGTGAACTTCCCTTTGTTTGAAAAAATAAATATGCTTTCCTCCTTGACTGCTTAAACTATGAAGAAAAAAATGTAAGTTTTCTTAGAGGGGAGGAGTAGGGTGCTGTTTATACCTCACATCGAGATAAAAAGTAGGTAATTTTTCCACAGTGAAGTATTTATCTGTTCAGCTTTTTAATTAGTCCATTTGTCATATTCTCTGCTCTACATTAAAAACAATTAAAACAATTATGTGCCCTATTCAGCTGAGATCAAGGGTGGAAAGAAAGCAGTCTAGGGGGCAACTTACGATTAATGACAGCTTTGAAATAGATATAGAAGCAATTAATATCTAAATGAACTGAAATTTGTGCAAGAATATCCAGTGCTTACATCTGCTTAAACTCCTGCCCTTTCACTGGAAAAGTGCCTCATACACGTACTCCAGTATCAGGAAAAAGAACTGACAAGAGATATTGCCTAAAAAAAAAGACTGATGAGATACCTCATAGAATGTATTAATCCTGTCTCAAACATCTTTGCAAAGTGGTTGTCTGAATCATTACCATTTTTTGAAATGTACAGTATTTATAGAAAGATACCTGATGAGGACCTCTGACGGTTGTCCCGGCAGCTTCTAAAGACGAAAAAATTACTTCAGGTACACCCTGGTTTGTGTGCTTAGGTACAAATGTGAAACCAGTGTCTGTTGTTTTTAAACACGTTTTGTCACAGGTATTTTCTATTGGCATGTTTGCATGATTTGGGGGGTTTGTTTTGTCAACAGTAGTTAAGCTTTGTAAAGCTGAGGTCATGAGATCAACTCCATGAGCTTCAAATGGGTTAGGTTCCAATTTACTGAGGTTAACAGCATGGTCTCTGTGCTCCAGGTTAAAATGATGATCTTGAAGCATGTTTTCAGCTATACCAGTACAAGGAACTGTTGGTTTTTCCTGAGTGCTCTGCAAGAAAGCAGAGTCATTGTCTGTAGGTGGAAACTTGACATTAAATTTAGAAAGTGATTCTACAGAGTTGTTGTCCTCATCTTGGCCCACTCCTCTTGGTGTGATAGATGTGATGCATGATGCACCTCTATTTATATCCTTTATAACCCGAGGCTTAAAAAGCTCTTCTGCTTGTTCATCAGTTTTATCAGTACACTGTATCGGCATGGAAAACTGTATTTCTGTGAAGAAAGAATGAAGAAAACATTAAATAGTCCACTGAAGCATAATTATTAAAGGTGCGGTGTTGGGCTATTTTTCCTGAGAGGTTTTTGTTCTTCCTTCTTGACTTTTTAACCTTTATTTTTTTCTCTTTGAAATCAGTTTGAGGCATAGTTCTCTCTCACAAACATTAGCTCTGACACAAAAACTATAAGAACAGAAATAAAAGGAAATAAGTCTGTTCTAATAATTCTATTTGTCTTTGATTTATGGCTATAAACATTTTCATTTTGTTGAAAATTATGTTGTCCCATACTCTTAACACATACTTGCATATATTTACTGAAGTGTGCTGGCAGAAATAGAAGCTGGAACCAAACCCATTTCACACGGTGCCAAGAACATGCTAGGCACCATGAGCACGATTTTAGAAGGTATTCAGGTACCAAACTCCCATTGGTTTCCGAATTAGGTAAATATTTAAACTGAATAACTATTCAGAAGTAGGACCATATTTTCCCTTTGCTTTGAGAATTCCCTTTCATTTTCGGCACTTTATATGTATTTTATTACCGCAAAAATGGTAACAATATACATGGTTACTCCTGATCAGGTGAGAGAATAACTTCAGTACACATTTATTGTACAGCAGCCTTCTGACATCACTCAGATATTGTAGCAATATGGGCCACAAAATTAATAAAAATCAAGCAGATTAAATCTATATCATGTATAGCTTTTAACACAGTTGAGTTAGGCACTTATTTAAGGAAAACAAATCCATCCTGAAATAAATTGCCAAGCACTCATCCCCCAAAATAATAAAGTTTAGTAGTGTAAAATCAGAATATAACAATACAGTGCAGACATAGCAATTTGAAGCCACAGGCTACACATTAGCACTTCACGTAAGAAAACTTCAGTAATGGTATAACCTAAATTAGAAGCCAGTGCTGAAATCAGCACCTCTTGCTTCAACCATGTAAGTTTGGCAGGTGTTTTCTGAAATCACTTAAGAGTCTGATCCTACTGTTAAGAAAAGCTAGTAGGGAATACCCATAGTAGCTTACATTATATTAAATGTAAGCATTAGCAAAACCGGACATTCAGAATCTCTTCCAGTTGCAACAAAAATCAAGCCTTTCTTTTGTTTTCAGGAAGTGTTGGATTAAGCTCTTGTCCCATATAAGAAAACAGTATTCAAAAGTCTGCACAAGGAAGTCTAGGAAATAAGTCCTCTGACTCTCCTCAGTCCGGCAGTTTAACAGATATGGGGCTAGAGACATTCATAACAGACATCTTTTGAACTGACAGCTAAATTAAAAGCAAGCAAGTGCTGTCATTCACACAGTATGATGGGATATCACATGTAGTAAGTGCCTGCCTCTCACTCCAAGGGACAAAACAATTACAAGAGCCATTGATGTGATGACTGTCTTTTATAGCATGTGATTTGGAGCATTCGTCATAGAATGCCAAAACTGGCGGTGCGTTTTCTTGGTGAAATACTGAGCACCATGTGAACAGACTTGAAAAAGGCAGATGGTAAACAGTGGAAGTACTTCTATGTATGTGTAATTTACAGTATTTTCAAATATAAAGCAAAGCTTTCAAACAGTTGAATCACAATAAGAGCTTAAGTATGATATTACCAGTTTCAGGTTCTGGCTTTATCTTAAATTTACTCAGTTGGTCTGTTTGTTCTCTGGCTAGCATACATATTCGATGACATTCTTCTTTCATGTCCTGGAAAATAGTCTCCAGATTCTCCCTGGAAGATCGAAATTGTAAATTAAAGAGTCAACCAATTCAGCTTCTTGTGACCTTTAATCTAGTCACACCTACAAACCAGAGAAAAACAATAGTGTAAGCTACTTTTCTTGGATACCTTGCTCCTCAACATATGTATACATATTTTTGTTCTCCTCAGTAAAAGCAAGCAGAAAGGGAAAAGAAAATGTTGTCAGAGCTGTTTAGTCCTATCATACACACATACATTTGAGCTTAGGACCTGACCCTGCAAGGACCCTCCCCCCCAAAAAAAATCCAGCCTTTATATTTCTTTCAGTTCCCTCAGGTATTTCGTGGAACAGCTTATCTTTCACAAGGGTACTGTTTGCATCTCATTCTAGGGCAAGTAAGATGCTGCTGCTGTGAACATTAATTGTTTTCCATTGTTTTCTGTGCGCTTCAGACTTTGCAAGAGAAGGAACACACAAGGATTTGTTACTGCTCCTTCCTTCTCTGTCTACCTGACATTTTGGAGAGAGTCTCGTGAACTCATTCCTTCTCTGTTTTATACAATTTCACATGACTTTTCCTTTTATTTTGAGGGATTTTTTTATTATATCTTTTCCAGAGTATCATACAGATATCCAATATTTAGTTATCTGCATTGAGAATGGTAAAAATAGTTCTTTGTGCTGGTGTGAGTTTTATTTGCCCGAAGGCAGTATGCTATTCAGTTATTGATGCATCCATAAAATTCCACTGTGAAATTTTGATGGACTTGCTGAGTAATTTATATTTCTAAGCACAGTATCATGGATTTTATAAAATGAACTTCAAGGATGAAAAAGTGAGGTTGGTGACAAACTGGATTTGTGTACTCTTTTGCATCTTTGTATCAAAAGAGCTCAAAAGGGATTTTTCTTTAATCCAGTGAATTGTTTTCCTTTTTATTGCTTATTCATATAGCAATCAGGAGTGTCACGAGCTGTGTTCCTACTTCTGCTGTGCTTCTCTTTTTGAAGACAGAAATGTCTATTTGTATCTCATTTGAAAAAAAAAATCTACAGAAAGAGTTAAAGTTGCTATTGTTAACACATTCTGACCGTTTTTCAGGTGTTTTGATAAATAAGAAATTAAAAAAGACAACACAAGTTTCTAATCGGAGCTTTAAAATATACATATGATTAGATGAATCAATCTTAATTTGCTAGACATTTGTGATACTATAATCTTTCTAGTGTAAGATTACCAGTAATCTTACCAGTCACATACCTCTTTCCAAGAAAACAGTAAAGTAAGGGAGCTATTTGAGAGGAGGGAGACAGAAGACAGGTAAAGGTTTTTCATTTTTTAGATATAAATCAGTGAAGACAAAAAAGTCTTTATCACATCACAGTCTTATTTCCTCTCTTTCTTGGCATAAAGCAGTAGCGAGTCAGACTAAAGATCCACGTAGTTCCCCTAGCCTATGTCTGAGAGTGGCCAAAAGCAGATGCCTAGGCAAGAGTATAAGACAGCAAGAGTTTATGATACTTTTCCCTAATAGTCTCCTAGCCTCACCTTAGAGAATCTTCTACTTGACCTCAGCAAAATTGTTAAAAGTGGTATTACTGCCTACCCTGTGAAAAATGCAAACCTAAGACTTTGGTCAATATTTTTCCCAAAACACTGGCAGAAGAGGGAATACTTGCTTAGGAAATACACTGCTTTTAGTCCCTTGGTCATAGCAAAGGCTGGCTGGTTGGCTTCAGCTTACAGATAAACCTGGCTTCAAACTCTCTCATTTAGGATGGATCAGGCCAAGAATTATTTCTTCATGCTGACTATCAGACCTCCTCCTGGCAGCACAGCAGGCTCCTCTGCAGTGCTGCCATCAGTTAATCCATTACAGTTGTACACTCCTGTTCTGAGGAGTTAATGCAAGGGAGTTAATGCTTACCCAAAACCCAGCATTAACATCCACTGCAGTTTCCCACAGAGT